ACCGATGTGGAAGAGTGGACTCAAGCCCTTAAACCATATTTCTCCCATCAAATGTAGTGTTTGCAGCTTTAAGCTCTTTGGTGTCCAGTTAGATCAAAAAGAGCATGACTGGCCATTAAGGATTACAGAGGTACAGAGAAAGACCAGGATAACTCAGGACTGAGGTTTTGACGGAGCCCTCCAAGTCTACCAAAGAGATCAGCATTTATTTTATTTTAGCTGTTGTAGCTCCATCTAGGGAGGCCCCTGGGATCATCTGTAGAAACACACTCACCTGCTTTACAGACTTGCCTGGGTTTGAGGAGACTTGGTGACAGTCATCGTGTCCTGTGAGGTGCACTGGGAAATCTTGAAATGCTGTAATCAGTTTTTCAGTCTACTGCTTTGTATATCCCATGCGTGTGTGTCTTGTAACCAAGACTAAAGATAATATAAAAATCTCATTCACAAGCTCATAGATCTGTTATACAGCAAGCTGAGTTAGTCTTCAGTATTTGCTGTTTATTCATTTTGTGGTTTCTTTCAGATATATAGTAAAAGCCATCAAAGTGGGTTGTTTTTTGTTCGTTTTGTTGTGCCTGGGATCGAACCCTGGGCCGTACACATGCTAGACCAGTGCTGTATCCCTGGCCTACATCTCCAGTCTTCGCCAAAGATTACTATTTATTTTTTAAAAGTTTTTCCATTAATTCCTCTGCTTGTGACTAGAATGCCCATATCCTTTGAGTACTGAAGCAGAACAGCTCCCAGAGTCTGACAGAGTACATTTGAAAATGTGCAGGACCTGACATTCTCTTTCAGGAACTTGTACTGCCAGGAGTTATATGGGAAGGCCACTCAGGAGCAGCCAAAAGGCCATAAAGTGGAGATCATGTCCCTGTAGGAAGCTGTCCCCAAGGACGAGGGGTGGCAGAGTTTCTGGACCACAGCAGGCGGATTGCAGGGCTTATTTTAGCTCCCTCTCCTTCATGTGTCCTCTGCGTCAGTTGCTATTTTGACTGTGAGCATCTTCGTGTGGCTGGTGGCTGTTGGTGACTGGACACCTTCACAGGGAGAACTCGTTGCTCCTCTGCCCACTAGTAGCTGTTGGTCTCTGTGCGGCCCTGGACACGGGTGCATGAAGCCCTCAATACCTACAGGACAACAGAAGGCTGCTGACAAAAGCACAGTTGAGGTTTAAAGGAATAAATAAAATATGAAATGCAGGTACTTTGATAGTACCAAAGGGGCGACAGTCAAATTCAGTACACGCTTTTGAGTGAAAGCGGCCAGCACTTGCTTACCGAAGAGCCCTGTACTGGGGGAATGTTCACTGTTCCATAGATGCTATCCTAGTGTGGACACACGCTCCAAGATTTCTCATAAGTTACTTGATGGAGAAAATGTGCCAGTAGTGACTGCTCTCTATCCATTGCCCTGCATCCGTGTGCTCTTGCACAGCAGCAGGGAACTGAAGCCCAGCAGCCCAGCATGTCGGTGAGAACCGAATGTGTCACAGTGGGTGTGATGACCTTTGGAGGGGCTTTCTTCCCCTCCCTGTTTCTGCTCCCTCGGGTTCCAAATAGCACCTTCTGCTATCATTATTATTCCCTGTGTCCAACTTGGCTCCTTCACGAGACAGCGCTTGCAAGGGGTTTCCCTTTCAGCTGCTTCGATCCTGTAGCTAATGCTAGCAGAATAACAAGTCTTATGCACCAATATAGGAACCCAAAGCCTGAGGGGTGATGAGCAGGGTAGTCCCCACTGTTCACTCGCACACTGATGGCTGTAAGTCATTGTATGGGTCTGTCAACGAGACCTTCTCATAGGCAGATGGCTCTGTTTATGTGTTTATTTCCCTTTTTTTCACAAATGTTCGAATTATTAATGATACTGCTGTTATGATACTATTGTTATGATTATGCTGATTATGATACGGTATTATACTGTTGTTAACCTAATTCCAAATGGTTGAGAAAATAGTCACCCCTCTATACACATGGGTTCACATCCTTGGGTTCAACCACTTGTGGATTGAAAATATTCAGGAAAAGAAATTGTGTTTGTATCGAACATGTACAGATGTTTTTGTTATTATTTTTCTCACTAATACACTATAGCCACCATTCCCTTGTACAGTTATTAGGTATTGTAAGGAGTTTGGAGGTGATTTAGGCATGCAGGAGGATGTGCAGAGGTTACATGTGATTACCCCGTCATTGCACATAAGGGATGTGAGCATCAGTGGGTTTTGGTGTCCACAAGGGACCCTGGAACCAGTCCCCTGAGATGAGGCCTCACTCCCACAGTGCAATAAGCTATTGGCTTGTTTATAATCATGTATTTGGCACGAATTCAAGAGGGACAGAGCTCCCTGAGGAAGAAACAAGGCAGTCCAGGAAGGACTCCCAGAAGGGGGAGGCCTGGAATCCCAGTCCTGAAAGATATATCTGACAGAGACAGGAAGTGCCCCAGGCTCTGTGAAAATATCTGGAAGAATCTTTTTCCTTGCTCTAGGCAGCCAGGGCAAAGGGTGGGAGAAAGTAGCCAGGGTAGAGGTTGGATCTCATGGCAGGCTCATCTCTGAGCTCTGTCATGGGTAGGAGATTTTCAACACCCAGTTGCCCTGGAGCTAGTGGCACTCACACTGTAGCTGTTCAGTCTTAAGTGAATGTGACTCACTGGAAACAGCCACTCACCGTAGGCCTCTCCCTTGGCACCTTTTGACAAACCCCAAAGTCTTCTCAAACAAATATGCCTTTCTCTACCGCATCTCCTGTCCAGATGTACTCAGTCTAGCAGAGGTCTCAAAGTGGGTCAGAGCTCTTGACCAGACATTGACAATCATGTGAAAGTTGTTTTGGTCCAGTAGGAAATTCCTCTGGAAGGTCCGGAGGGCCTGGAGAGGTGAGATAAGACTTTTGGTCTGGCCTGGAGCTTCGAGCCTTCATCCCAACTCTTCTTCCCTTTGCACTGACCATGGCGATCATTCCTTCCCCAGTGCCTCATTTCTTTGTGGAATTTTTTCTCTACTTTTAGACCAGTGTGACTAGTTTATTCAATTTCAGCTTGTTATTGAATGTATACTCTTTCCTAATGATATTCTTGTTCTTTTCCTTTTTCCGAAGTATCCTGATTCCATTGTTTTGTTTTATAGTCATTATTCTGTACTCTGAAGTTTTATTATCTAGTGATTGAGGTCTTCCCTTTGCCTTTGAGGAAATTAGATTCCTGCAACTAAAGTGTTTCACAAGCATCTCTCAAACTCCTTGGTCTTGGGGTTTCTGGTCTCCACTGTAGCACAGGCCAAAGGTGACTTCTCTAGACACTGAGTCCCAGATGTGACGTCTGAGCAGAATGACACTCGCTGTAAGAGGAGGAAAGGCTGAGGATTCCTCTCTGTCTGTGGTTTCTTCTCCTGTCCTTTCCTTTTGGCTTCTAGTGTTTTCCCTTTTGTGAATAACCATTTTCCTCCCTTTGTGGCTCATGCAGTAAAAGGGTCTCCTTTTCCAAAGCAGGAAAATTGTTCCCCAGTTTTAGAACACCAATCAGGAGCCCAGGGCCAAAAAGGGGCTTCCATTGGTCTCACCCAAGTCATAAGCTCTGAAGCTAAAGTAATAAACAGATTTGTGGGAGAGGAGAGAAAATGAATTTTTTTTTAATGTAAAAGAGTGATGTTTTTAAATCCAGTAGTTTGTCCATGTGTACTGCAATTTCTTTGTGGCTTAAAGTAACGAGTTAGTGGCTGTCTGCATTCCCCCACAGTGGCGATCATTTTTTTGCCCTGTGGGACCTCCACGTGGGTGAGTCACCCCTGACCCCTTGCCCACCACAAGATGGTTCCCCGGGCTTCTGGCAGTTGACCCCATTTTGTCTACACCCGAGAAGGTGGGTTTCCCTCAATGTGCCTCCCTCTTGTCACAGACACAGAATGAAGGGTTGCAGCTCTGTCCCTTGCTGTGCTGGTGGGCGGCGGGCTGCTCACCACTGCAGACCCTTCTGTGCTGATGCAAGCTCTTTCTGGGCTTTCAGAAGATAATACAAGGAAGTGCTGAGCAGACGTGGGAAGAGACAGGAGGAAACACCACAGGAGCCCAAAGGAGAGGTCCTAAAGCCAGGCCCCACAGAATTGCTAACCACTGTGAAGAATTTTCCTTTTTGGTCTGGGATCTCAGGCAGGAACCCTGCTGGGCTCAGGGCCTCTCCCCGCTGAGTCATCACAAAGCCACACAGGCACTCAGCCATTCTGAGTGTCACCAGGTGTCATCTTGGTACAAATCACACCTCAAAAGGCTAATCTGGGCACTGGTCATCCTGGTCATCCTCAGGTACATTCCAGTGCAGGTGACATTTCCCTCCCTCCCCAGCTCTTGAGTAGAGGAATGTTGAAGACCATTGCTCCCTGCAATTAGTGGTGTACTTTGCCCAAGTTCCACCCAAATCACTCGCTTGGGTTGTGCCCCTCTTCTTGCTTCTGCAGAATCTCCCCTTTGCCTAGGAGTAAGGCTATCTCAGTTCCTTCAGGATGCAGATACCCAACTGTGGGATAGGTCCAATGTATTTTTATTTTTCCAGATCCTTGTGTATTCCAAGACTCCTTTTCTGATGACTCCTTATTTGGATCAGATGTAAATCTGAATTTAGCAAACATTCATAATTACCAGAGGTGATTCTGGGCTCTCTGCCAAATATTTAAAATTTCAGGCACCACAGAAAAATAAGAGCTTCAAAGAACCACTGCACAAAAATGACTTTATGGTCACCAAGTTGAAGAAGTTGGTGGGGGGGGCATCCTTTTATTGAGTATTTCTGTACAAGGCTTAAAAAGATACTGTAACCACTGCCTATAATTTGTAGGCATTGAAACAAGCAAATAAGGAGAAGAGATGAAGCTCTTCAGAGGCAGGAAATTAATCAAAGCAGAGAACCCTGCTCTTCTTCCAAATGTGTACCTCATATTGTTTGCTGTTTTCTTTCTTAGATTTCCAAGCAGAGGTGGTTTTCTTTCTCTTTTTTTTCAGAGAGTTCAATCAGATAAGCTTGAAGACACAGAAGGCTGAGATACCATGATTCTGAAGCCAGTTCACCTCTGAAGTCATGGTTTAGCTGTCAGCATTGAGGTGAGTTTTCAGGAGCGAAATGCAGGCTTTGTGGCTCACACATTATTGCTTTTGCCTTCATCATGAGTCGAAGTTCAGGCAGATCCAGCAGGGTGACCCTGTCTGAGTCATGCTCAGGGAAGCAGAGGGCTGAGAAAGTTAGGGCTGCCCAGGGTGAGGCTCAGCCCCCATACAGGCGAGCCAGCTTCGCCATCTGGGTGGTTGGAAGCACCCTACCCTCTCCAGCAGTCCTGCCTCCTGATGTGCCTGTGAGGAACTCCAGGAAAGAAATGGAAAACTTAACATTGGGGCTTTCTTTCTGAACTGAGCTATGGCTCTGAGAGAGACTTTTTAGATGAGCACAGAGTCAGCTGCAGAAAGGGAGGCAGAAGCGCTCTTCTGAGAACTGGGCTGTTCGACCTGCCTCTGAGGGCCAGTGTTTCTCCAAGTGTGTTCCCTGCACCCCTGCTTCTGAACAACTACTGCAGTGTGGGCAAGTGGTGGAAGGTGGCAGGTGGTGGAAGCAACCGGTCTTTCTCAAAACTAATGACCCTGGAGCATCTCCACGGGTGTGTGTGTGGTCAGTGGTGGTCAGCACAGTCCTGGGGAACTCTTCCTGTGACTGGGGTTCCACAAACTCATTAAATAATTTTTTGGCCCAACATATATGGTGTCCAATGCTAGAGACACAGAATTGTGGTGGATGAGTTTGGTGGTGTTTGTATACAGGAGGTAGATTAGTTCACAAGTAAAAGAGCTTATGGGAATGGCCTCTAGCTTTAGGTGGTCTGCTTTTTATTCTGAGTCTGACACTTGTCAACTGCAGGAACTTGCACAGGACACATAACCTCTCTGTCAATCTCCAAGCCTATAAACAGCGATAAAGCGTCTACCCTGAAGATGTTATTCTTGTGGGGACTAACATTACAGACGCACACTGGCCAGCACCAGACTATATTAATAATGGCTGAGACATGTATTAATAATGGCTGAGTGCTTTGAAGGTTAAGTGGCTGATGAACTAGGGAGAATATGGTGGTGAGTAGGGGCCTTTTGAATGAGGTGATCCAGGAACATCTTGAAGTAGAGACCTTGTCAAGGTGAGAAACAGCAGGCCATGCCACTCACTGGGAGGGGAACAGTATCCAGAGGAAACACCCACCACGAACAGTGTGTCTTATGCAGAGATGGCAATTAATACAATCCAATATTTCATCATGTTTAAAAAAATACCACAAACAAGGGCTAGAAGGGAACTTCCTCAGCAGGAGAGGACATCTATGCAAGGCCCATCACTCTGTCACTTGAGTGGCAGAGCTGAAAAGGTTTCCCTACGATCAGGGGCAAGGGTGTTCCCTCTCAATGCTGCCACTCAGTGTTTGTGAAAGTTAATGTTAAAGCACTGCTTCCAGGTGTTCCCGCAGGAGATTGGGGTGTGGGTCCTGAGCCTGGAGGTCCGCCTTTGTGTGAATGGACATCACTCAGTCAGCCAAAGCCAAGGGCAAATAAAAAGACAGAGAGAAGGCTGACTTGCTCTCTTTTTCCTGGAGGTGAGACACTCATTTTTCTGATTTTCAGACATTACAATTCCAGGTTCTCTGGTCTTGGACTCTAGGACCACCACAGTGGACTCTCAGACTTAGTCCCTACTTAGGTTGAGTTACACCACTGGCTTCCCTGGTTTTGAGACCTTTGAGTTGGGACTGACCTATACCATGGGCATTCCGGGGTCTTCAGCTTGTGAATGTCATATTCTAGGACTTCACCTCCATTATGAGAGCCAACACACCTGATAAGCCACCTCGTACATGTGTCATCTACTTAACTAGCTAGCTATCCTACTGGTTCTTTCTGGAAAACCACAAGCATCTTCCTCAAAACTAATGGGGTTAGAAACCTAATATAATATTATGCTGGAGGTTCTAGCCAGGAAGGTTATAAAAGACAATAAAATAAGTGACTTCAAGACCAGAAAGAAAAAGGTAATACTCTCTGCTTACAGATAGAGTTATCTTCCATGTAAGATATCCTTGGGAATCTACTGAACTAATAAACTCAACAAAGTTGTAAGGTGTATTGATGTAGTCAATTATATTTCTATATACTTGCAAAACTCTAAAATGAAACTAAGAAAATAATCCATTTTATAATAACATAAAGAATAGTAAAATGTTTAGGAAAAATTAGCAATAGAAGTATAAAACATGCATTCCTAAAAACTGCATTGGACTAAGGAAAACCTAGGTAATTGGTAAAACCTCATGTTTATGAATCAGAAGGCTGAATATTGTTAGAATGGCGTACTCTGCATTCATACATAGATTCAGTGAAATCTCTCTCAAAACCTCAAATAGATTCTTTTCAGAAGTTGACAAGCTGATCCTAAAAATTAATATGAAAATTCAAAGGATCCTTAATAGCACAACAAGAAGAACAAAAAAGGATTTGATTTGATGATTTCAAACTTACTACAGAGTTATAATAATTAAGACAGTATGGTACTGGCATACAGGTAGAGGCATATTGATATAGAAAGAATTGACAGTCTGAAAATAATCTTTGGTGAATTGATTTTGTGTCAGAAAATTCAGTGGGGAAATAATATCTTCAATGTCTGGTACTTGAACAATTTAATGTTCATATACATGAGAGTGAAGTTGGATTTTTACCTCACATTATATACAAATACTAACTCAAAATATATTGGCTTAAATGTATATTGGCTACAACTTTAAAACTCTTAGAATAAAATGTAGACATAAAATCAATGACCTTGGATTGGGTATGATTTTTTGGATATGTCACCACAAACACAAGTGAAAAAAGAAAATAATAAATTGAACTTCATCAAAACTAAAAACATTTGTTCATAAAAGATAGAAGAGTTTAACATCTTGTGTGATAAGACAGTGTGTGCAGAATGTATAAAGAACCCTCTTGACTGAGTAATAAAAAGGTGCCTCAATGTAAAATGAGCAAAGGATTGAATAAATGTTTGCCCAGAGAAGATACTCACATGGCCAGTGAGCACATGAGAAGTTTTTCAACAGCAGTAAACACAGGGGAGTACGAATCATAACACAAGGTAGCACTTTCTGTCCTCTGTGACAGCCGGGTAACAAAAGCTGGTGAGCCTGTGGGTAAATTGGATCCCTTACATACAGCTGGTGGGAATGCAAAACGTTCCCAGTGCACTTGTTTTGGAAAACAGCAAGGCAGTTTCAGACAGATAAACTTAGATTCACTTCTTACAGCTCAGAGTGTCAACCCCAGGTATAGAGAAGTAATAACATGTCTGCACAAGAACACTAATGTTTATAGCAGCAGTGTTTATAATACTAAAGAATGGAAATAGCCCAAATGTCTGTCAGCTAATGAATGAATAAAATGTGGTGTATTCATACAGCAAAATATTATCTGACTATCAAAGGGGTCGAATACTAATATATATGGATTAACCTTGAAAGCATTTTACATAAAAGAAGCCAGACACAAAGAACACAGGACACCATTCCATTTACATGAACTCTCTTGGTAGGTGCTGTGGCCTAGGTGAGAGTGCTTGCCTAGCATACGGTGAGTCCATGGGTTCCACCCCCAGAATTAACAAGGAAAAAAATTCAAGAACAGGCAATATATGGAGACAGAAGGTAGATCTGTGTTTGACTTCAGTTGGGAGTGTCTAGTGGGAAATTAGGAGTGACTGCTAATTGGTTTGTGATTTCCGTGGGGTGTGATGAAAATGTCTAAAATTGATTTGATAATCTTCAGGCAACTCTGTGAATATACCAAGAACTATTGAATTGCACACTTTACATTGGTGAATTGAATGCTATGTGAATTGTATTTCAGTAAAGCTATCAATTTTATTTAAAAGGGATTTCTTGGAACTTCAACTGTCAGAACTTGGTGATAGATGAGATTTAAGAACTAAGGGACCAGGGAAGAATTAAGACTGACTCCTGAATTTTGACCTTGGGTCAGAAAAGGCAGAGAGGAATTTTTATTTTTATTTTGTTTTATGAAGAGAACCAGCTTTGAGAATTAAGATTCTGTTAAGTTTAAGATCCCTGTAAATATTCCAAATGGTTATTAGGCAGACACTTGACACCAGGGAGCAATCCAGGCTGGAGATACATGTAGATGGGAGGCGGATCCATAAGAAAAGATGGATACTGACAGAGCGTGTGTGGGTATATGTGAATGGGGCTCAGGAGAGGTGGAATGATGGAGGAGCACGGAAGAATTATACATGGACGGTATCACCGTCCAGGGAGAAGGCAAACGTTGGAAGGGAGGTCACTGACCCTGGGTGATTTACAAGGAGCCAGGCTTCCACAGAGGAGGCCCTTGGGAAAGTTCCCTAGGAGGAGGGCAGAAACATTCATGAGACGCTTTCACCAAAGTGGAAGTTATCTAGCACCCCACAAGAGCAGTTCAGCTGATTGGAGCGGACCAAAGAGGGAACATGGAGTACAGGGTTGGAGACACTTAGGCAGCTGTTGCTGGAAGCTTTGCTGCAGTTAGACTGGTGAGACTCTGGGCTGAGATCAAGGTTGTTTTCTCTCTTGGAGAAACACTGCACGTGAGTGCCGTTGGCTTCGGAGGTCATCCACGGGCAGCTGCTGCTAACTGTCGTCCAAGGGCAGGGCCTGTGCGAAGGTTTTGCTCCACTGGAGTCCCAGGAACAGTGTATTCTGAGCTTTGTTTTCTGACAGTTTTGATCTTGTTTCCATTTTGTGCTGCTGCTAGTGAGCCCAAGCCTTGCATGTGCTAAGCTCATGCTGTACCACTGAACCCCAACCCAGCCGTGCTGTTATTTTGATTTGGAGAAAACTGAAAAAAAGGATTTCATCCATGTGCTTTTTCACAGTTTAGATAGGATCGTCTAAAAAGCTTCAAGTGAAATCAGAATAAAGAGGGAAGCTGTGCTTTGGTTTCAGATGCAGTGAAGGCATTTAACAAGCAAAGACCTTATTATACCCAACTTGCTTTTGTGCTGCTTCTAAGACATTAGTGGA